TTATTAAATAAATGAAAGGATTACTACAACTAAAGTTACAGTTATAAAAAGTATTTTTTTCCCTTCAGTCCTAGGGTATTGATAACAGACAAACTTTCATCATATGTTATTTTGATTTCCTGAAGAAACAAAGCCAAAATTTTTTACAGACTATTTGATAGAAAAATAAATAACCATACGATTATTTTAACTGTTCCTTTTACCTCATAGTCTTTATCATTCTTTTGCATAGTGAAATGCAAGGGGAAAATGTTTATTTCAATTAGGAACAATTACATACTATTCACCTTGATATAAAATATTAAAGGTAATTAATTCCATATGCAGAGTGACTGGCAATGACTTTTTGCTTTGGTTTTGTTAACATAAATTAGTACATTTTTTTCTTGCAGTCTATTTTGTTGTGACCTTTGGTGCTAATTAAGAGTGGTTATATAATAAATTCACTCACAACTTTATTCATTACCCATTTGTAAGTGTTCATTGTGGTCTTGCTGCTGTCGAGTTATCCCCTAATCTAAGCCTATGATCCAGTACAGAACAAACTGTGTTGTCCTGTTTCTTGGACATTACAGGGCTTATAAACTGAGTAGATGTTAAATTGAATTTTAAACCAAATTAAGATGAAGGCTTAAGAGCACTAACTTTTATTAGCGTTTTAATCTCTTTTATATTTAATTTGCTTAGATCAGAATATACCATCCTTAATGCATTCAGAGTTGTGTTTGGGATTTCTTTATTCTGCTTTACAGTCTTTGGGGGCATAATTCTTCTCACATTACTGTACCTTTCAGTTTCCCAAGGCTTGTCCGTTAGTATTCATAGCCTCTGGATGGGTGTTTACTTTCTTCTCTAAAAATTGTTATTCACAGTGGGTGCATTTTAGTAGCAGTTTGAGTGCTTCATTTTCAGTTTTCCAGAGTGTCAGAAAATGCACTGGTGATAGTTTTATCAATTGTAATTGGTCTCTGCTATTTTGATTTCTCCCATGAAACACTAGACTCCATAGTCCCTCATTATACTGGAGTACCTTGGTTGGGCAAATATCTGACAACTGCACTACTGAAGGCAGGCTTTAGGCTAACTTCAGTCTCCAGGATGACCACTATAACTTAGAGAAGGGAGCAGGTTGGAGTGGAAAAGACCCAGGAAAGGGTCAGGAGACTTGGTTCTATCACTTACTCTTCTTGTGACCTTAAGCTAACCGCGGAAGTCGGGGTAGAGGGAGTATCTTGGGTTTTCTTAGTTGTTAAATTTGGGGGTGAGACTAGCTGTTTTCCTACACCCTTTCCAGTGTAGGATACCACTTGTGCATTAGAATTGGGCCATTCCTGGTCACCTTGCTTTAGCCCTATACTAGGATGTTTGTATCCACTCATAGGAGCTAAAAGTGGACTAAAGCCAGGGAACTAGTGTGAACCCAGTCCTCTTGTGGCTCCATAAAGCCTGTTGTCTCAGGAACTGTGACGACTTCCAATTTGCTTCAGGTACGAGAGGGTCACCACAACTCCTACAGGTCCCAAAGCCAGAAAGTAACGTTCTGGAGATTTAAACCCAATTCTAAATTCATGTTCTTTTTGCTGTATCCATTGCTTCCTCTACAAAGTAAAGATAACACTGATGATTTTGATGGGGTAGAGGTGATTTATAAAAAGTAAAAATTACAGTAGGCACACAAAATAAAAGAACTTTCTGACAACTGTCACATGAACTATTTTCTTACTGATTTTTCCAGATATCTTTGAGCAGTCATAAAAGTGTATAAAACAGTTACAGTACAAAGAATAATTATATGTCAAAACTTATGTGGCCACCCAGGTCAATAAATAGAGCATTGCCAGCACCCCAGAAACTCTGTGCAATGCTCCCAGATCAAACCCCTCTCCCCTGCCCCTAGAGGTAACCACGCTACTAACTTTTGAGATAAGCGTTTCCTTGTTTTTCTTTGCAGTTTTACCACCTATATACCTATCCCTAAACAATATAGTTTAGTTTTGCCTGTTTGGGGGCTTTTATAATTGAATCATATTATGTACACTTTTGTGTTTTGTTTCTTTTGCTCAGTATTATGTTCATGAGATCCATCCATGTTGTGATGTATAGCTAGAGTTCATTCATTTTCATTGCTTTATTTTACTCTGTTGTCTGAAAAGATCACGATTTATCCTTCCTACTGTTGATAGACATTTATGTTGTTTCCAGTTTTGGATTGTTACAAACAATATCATCCTGAACATTTTTATACATGTCTCCTGGAGCACATATGTAGGAGTTTCTCTGTGTATATACCTAGGAATAGAATTGCTGGTCAGAGGGTATGCATATTTTCAACGAACTGTGATTACTGAATTTAATTTTCACTGGAGCTTTTAACCAATACATTTTTAATAGGAATTTAAAATATTTTATTCTCATCTAAAAAGGTTTGTCTTTCCTATAGAAAAATGCAAGAATGGCAGCAGAAAAGCATTATTCTAACATCCTAAAAGCACTAGGAATATCTGATGAGTTTGTTTCAAAGAAAGGCCAATGTGGAAGAACATTTGAGTCCTTCAGCGATCAAGAGATGAAAAGTTTCACTGAAGATAAAGAAAGGTAACATATATAAGTCTGAATGGTATACCTCTGAAAAAATTCTTACCTGGAGGAAAGCATAAAATTCTGTTCTATAATATTTTTTAAAGGTCTTTTACCTAGTTGAATACATGTGAACTGATGTAAAATATGTTGATATTTTAACATGTTTGACATTCAAAATATTATACAGTGATGAAGTATCTTGTTTTTAAGGCAGAATAATTTACATTTCTGACTGGCATAAATAATGAAAATAAACATGCTTTCAAATGAAGTTAAAAGAGTAAACCAAGTTTTAAAATAAATTAGTTCTCAGAGGAATATTTACTTTAAAAAAAAAATGCCTGCAGCGCCTGATATTCCTAGGTGGTCTCCCATCCAAGTACTAACCAGGCTCCACCTTGCTTAGCTTCCAAGATCAGACCAGATCAGGCACGTTCAGGGGAGCATGGCCGTAGACAGAAATATTTACTTTTCCAACTGGCACTTTCATAGAGTTTTTCTGATGAATTGGAGCTTATACACCTGAGGAAGACTGACTACATGATGGCGTATATTGCAAAGGGTTTGTTTACCTTTAAACCAAACCATTTTTCCTTTGAAAGATTGATAAATTTCTTCTTCTAGCTTTAATGAAGAAGAAAAAATAGAAGAAAGAGAGAATGAGGAAGAAAATTATTTTACTGATACCAACAGCCAGGATTCTTGCAAAGAAAAAGATGAAGCTGATGAAGAGAGTGAAGAAAAATCTGTCGAAGAATAAAACAGAATCAGCAGAGCCTCCTCTCTGTGTCTGTGCTGTTGTTTGCAGCATCATGTATTAGCAGCTGTGTGGGTGTTAGCAGCTGTGCTTGTGTTAAGAATGTGGATGGGAACCCATCTGATGTGTGCAGGGCTCTTGAGCAAAGTCATCTGTAGCGGAAAAGGTCAAATCCTGCCGATTGGCCATTTGGTCAGTTAGAATAAGGCTTTGCCTATCATGTTTTAAAATTGCTACATATGGTCTGTTCACAACTTTGATCTTATTTGTATTTTTAAAAAGTGTTTGAGAATCACAGCTGTCACAAACTGATTAGTCATAAAAATATACATTACTTCATTATTTTGGTGGGAAAAAATGGTTTAGCATTGAGAGCAGAGAGAAATATTGGCCTTTAGTGATTTGTTTGAAAAAAAATTTTCTCATTTTTTTAAAGCATGAATTAATAAATATTTTTAAATTATACTATTTGCTCATTCTTTTTCTCTGCAATACATCTCACAAAATGAATCCTCAAACTTATTTTACTAGGTATTTTAAGTTTCTTATCTGAGCCATTTTTCAAAATAAAATATAGAAAAAAATACATACTTGCAAATTTACATTCATTTCTACACTGAGAGTTTACTGTTAAATTATCCATAGTATCATCACTTTTTTTATCTTTAATTTTATTCTAAATTATTTTTGATATCTATATTATTAGAAAAGCATTTATATTCTTTTTAACCTTGTATATTGACAGATGGAAAGAATTATAGCATCGAGTTATAATTTTAATAAATATCAGCCCTGTTTTATATATGATGAAATTTGTACATAATAACTTGTCCAAGGCAAATCTCTAAAATAATTCAGATTTGACTCTTTAATACAAGGCCCAGCTGTACTCAACTTCTTACATATTATTGCAGACACACTTTGTCTTTCTGTGCATGATGTTAATTTGATTTTATGAATATATCATTTTTCCTCTTTAAGCAGATTTTTGTTTTAAAAATTCAAACCTGTCATAAAGATGTGATAGAGTGAGACATTTTCTTTTCTAAAAACAATCAACCTCCTTTAAAGAGGATGAACTAATAAAGGTGTATATAATAACAGTGTTTCCCAACTGACAGTTTATGTTTTAAATGAAGAAATAAGGTGATTTTTCTCAATTAAGGGCAAATATTTACCTGTAATTTCTTTCCTACACTTTGTATTAAACTATTTGTCACTAACATTAGATTGTAAACTTCTTGAATGTTGGCACCATTTAACAATTCATCTTTGTAATTCTTTAATATTTTGCACAGGATTGTGCATATGGTAGGTACTTAATAAAGGCTTAGATGAGTAAGTAGATGAATATGTTTTTTAATTATATACTTCAAAATGAATACACATGGGATTAAAAACATTTCCCTTCAAATTTATTGAGAACCTATGAAACACAATCCACAAATTGTAATATTTTAAATATTACTTGTTTTCAAGGATTTGCTCCTCATTCTGTCTCTTCTCAGCTTTATGAGGAGATATAGGACTTGGTTTCAGAACTAATCTTCAGTTTTCTTTAAAAATGGGAATAGTGCCTGTATTGAGTGGCTATAGGAAGGAGTAGATGAAATGATGTTTGGAAAACTTCTTTGCAAACTAGGCTATTCAAATGATAGTGCCACAGTATAGGATATTCCTAAAGAAACTTTTAACTTTCGACACTTTTATTAAAATAAGATACAATGTGATTTAAATATGATTTGTTAGAAATAATGTGTGAACCCCCTTTTTAAAGACAGCGATCTGGTAAACATAAAGCCAAACTTAGAAGACATTGGCAGTTTCAAATCATTCTGTGCAAAAATCACTTTTTTTAGAAAGCCATCATATTGACAGCTGATTTATTTAATGTGTGATATTATACAATAAGAAGAGAAAAAATTTGAGAAGAAAAATAAGAAAATCTGGTATATAACTGTCAAAAGTCAAGGAATAATATGCATGCTTAATCTAACTTTGAAAAGATGGTAAGACAAAAAAATGGCAATAGAATTTGCCTCTGGAACAAAGCCTGGGAGTAGGCAGTGGAAGACTTAGTTTTTTGTTTTGTTTTTTCCCTTCAACATATATATTAAAGAAAAATATAAATGAGGCTTTAGCCTTGTTGGAAGCTACTTTCTAGTCAAGGATTTAGAGTAGCTTGACAGCAAGAAAAGATAAAAATACTTATATCTTTTTCTGATACTAAAAAAATGTATACATCGTAAACAGTTTATTTGAATCAGGGTCCAAACATTGCACTTGGTTAATAAGTCTCTTAAGTCCCTTTTTAATACATCTCTTTTTTCTTGCAATATTGTTGTTGAGGGACCTGGTCGTTTGTCCTGTAGAGTATCCCACTCTGAATTTTGTCATTTAATGTGTTCTCTGCGTTTCCTATAAATTAGTAGTAGTTAGATCTAAGCTTGATCAGATTTATGTTTGATGTTTTCAGCCAGAATATTTCATAGGTCATAGTGTATATTTCCATCAAGGAGGTACATAATGTCTAATGATCTTTCCTTTTGTGATGTTATCCACCATTGAAGATCATTGCTACAACTCCTCATGCCAATGCCTCTTCACTCATTTTAGAATTTACCAAAGACCACAGAGTCTTAGTTGTTACAAAAAGGAAAAAAGTGGGGAATGAGGAATTGAACAAAGGTGGTCAAAAGGTACAGACTTCCAGCTATCAGATAAATAACTACAAGGGGTGTAATGTACAGCATGGCGACGATAGTTAACACAGCTGTACGGTATATTTGAAAGCCGATAAGAGAATAAATCTTAAAAGTTCTCACCACAAGGAAAAAAACATTTTTTAATGAGATGGTGGGTGTTAACTAAACTTTTTTTGTAGTATTCATTTCACAATACATGTGAGTCAAGTCAGTATGTGATACACCTCTTAAACTTACACGGTGCTGTATGTCAATTTTATATCAAAACTGAAAAAAAATCTAAATACAAAAAAAACAAGGAAAAATAACTAAATAGATATTCTAAATGTTAGTGTATCTGCTTTTATAGCTAGGAAATCTTAGAAACCAAAACGTTGTTCTTCAACTTCTCTACTTCTTTTCACATTCTTCTGGACACCACAAGTGTCTCATTTTTCCCTTTAGGAATCTGTGGCTCTATCTTATCACCCAATTTTATTGTTTTTGTTAGCTGAGGGTTTTTGCTTTTGCATTGTCCTTTTATATGGGGGATACACAAAGATTCAAACTAAACTGCTATCACTACCATCTTCCCAGAAAACTCTCAAGACTTAGTTTTCCTGTGTACGTTTTGAACTGTTTGAATTTTTTTTACTATATTACTTAGAAAAAATAGTTAAAAGAAGGTAATAGACTAGGAATAAAAATTTTAGGTCCCTTCCACCACTGAAATGAAATGAAATGAAAAGATGGTGGTAATAAATGCAAGTACTGTAGAAAAAGTAAGCAGAAAAGCAAGATGAGAGGAATAACTGTTGCAAATTTAAATGAAGTGGTTAGGGATAGCAACCTTGTGAACAAAGCTCTGAAAGGGCGAGGGGTGGGCCCTGTGGATGTTGGAGGAGAAAGTGCTTTCTTTGGGCAGAGAAATGCCAGTGCTGAGCTCTGAGGGGGAGTGTGCTTGAGATATTTGAGGAACAACAAAGGGGGCCATGTGAGCAGAGGGAAGAGGAGGAAAAGACACAGGAAATGAGGTCAGAAAGGAGGGAGGTTGCGGGGAGAAGGGGATCTTGTAAGGATTTTAGCTTCTTTGTGTGGGCAGCCATTGCGGGATTTTAACTAGGGTGACATAATCTGACAACATGTAGTGTCTTTCTGCAGCTGGGTGAGGATGGTCTGCAAGTAGCAAGGGCAAAAGCAGGATGGTCACCTAAGAGACCTTTTTAAAAGCGTTTATTGCTAATCCAGATATGTCTAATTTCAAAGTGAGTTCTTCTACTATATGTTATGTACTAAAGTAGTCACAAAGGTGATTATACTTTTAATGTATGGGTAGTTATTTTTTTCCTCAAAACTATTATATTACAAATAAGCCATTAAAATATCCTTTTAAACGGAAAATAAAAATCCTCTTAAGACCCGCTTACTACAATTTTGAGTATATAATAGTTGAAATTCTTTTATTTTTCCATTAGAAGATGCTCCCCAAAAGAAGGGAAACTGACTAGCTTTAGTAATAGCATTGAGAAATTTAGACCAGCCCTCACAACTCAGTCCACTAGACTAAAAGCAGCAGTGAGGCCATCTTGCGAAAGTTCTTCTTTGTTGTTCTTATAATTAGGAATTAACCACTGGGTCACAAAAACGATCTTGAAATAAAGTAGTATTTTTCCAAGAAAAGGATATGGTAGAGATTGCCAGTTGTTCGGCCAGTATTTATTTTCCCTTTCTTCCTTACTATTAGTCCCTTACTTTTGCTGTAGTCCCCTACAGTTTTGAGTATATAATATTTGAAATTATTTCAGTTGGCAATATGCCCAACTGAAAAAAAAAACTATATGTATTTTTTTCCAACCTTCCTTGCAGCTAGGTAGTTATATGATACCATCCTAACCAGAGAGAAGTAAGTAGGGTTTTCAAGGAAAGGCCTTTAGAAGAGAAAGACTTGGCTGGCTTGACGTTTTGGTCTTTGCCTTTTCTCTTTCCTCCTTCTTCCTTCTTGGAACTTGAATGTGATGGTTAGAGTCAGAATAGCCATCTTATAGTCATGAGGAAAGGCCAAGGGAAGTCTGAGAGACTTTGGCCCCCAGACTTTTGATACACAGAATCAATACAAGCAACTGCCAACCTCCAGTCTGGGTGTTACCTTGTTTAAATCTGCCATTTGTGTTTTCTATTAAATGTAGCAGAACATAGTTCCTAATTCAAGACATACACCCAACCAATCATTAAACAGACTTTGGAAAGAAGTGACATTTCTGAATTTTCATAAGTTACATATGCCTGTAATGTTAAACATGTACACTGAGGTCAATCTTTTACATCTCTTTGAGGGATGCTCACTTTTTTCAAGAAGAAAAATATTCCCTGCATTTATATATGAGGAAAGAAATACAAAACAGGACATTAACACTCTAAAGAAAAAACACAATGGAGCCCTTCTCAAACAAATAACAATATTTCTGTTAATCTTACATTATTAATAAAAAGAAGTATATTTTATTATGAAAACAAGCTATCTAGTGGCACCTTATGCTCCAATGGATTAAGCTACAGTATTTTTGTGCCAACCTTAAAAGTTTTTTTTCTGAAAACTGTGCCAAGAAAATGTGTAGCTGAGGAACTGAAATGCTTCATGAGAAACATGGAGACATAGAAACCAAAATCAGGCAGGAGAAAGCCAAAGTACATTTTTCAAAATGTTCACTAATATAAAACCAGCCCACTAAATAAAGGTAATATCAATGACATTATGGACAAATATATACATAATTAACAATGAGTACCATATAGTTAATTTTCATTATTCCTTGTTCATCAAGAAATTTTGAGAACATCTCTTTCTCCCATAGTTTTTATGAGATTTTGAAAGTTTGTTTTATTCTCAGGGGAGTGGAGAGAAACTGTTTTGCTTCAGCTTTTCTTTCTGTCACAAGGAGACTCTGAATCAACATTTCCTATTACTGTGCTACTAGTTCTACTGCTCTCCAACCTCCCCAGTTTCCGATCTCAGACCAACTGGGTGAGCTAGACTAGCTCAAAAGGCTCTCTGGGGCCTACCATCACATTTCTGGAACCATTAAGGGAGTACACATTTTAAGAAAAGACTAAAGGAGGAGAGTTTGAAAGTATTAAGTATAAGAATCTTTTGCTTGTATAACTCCATAGTTTTTAAAGTATTTCACATTATATCATTGCAGTCTCACATCCAACCTTTGCGGCAGGAGAGGAAATTAAATAATCCAGGCAATGTCATGCAACCAGTTAATGACAAAACCTGGATCATTGTCTTCTGCTAGTTCAACTATGCCAGTCTACACTCTAAGGAATGTTACCTTTAAAACAGAAGTCAGGATCAGTTGAAGCTCTAAGTTAACTCAGAAACAAGCAAAACAATAGTTTTATTCAAGGAAAGCACAGATTTTGATCCTTAGAATAGATCTCACTAAAGGTATACAGGAACTTTTGTGTTCAAAATCTTCATAATCTAGAAACTTAAACAATACCCCAAATATAATATAAGACATCCAGAGAAACTAATGAAAAACTGTTGTCTTATTTTACAAGTATCTTTTATGTTCATGGTAAACAACAAAATAGAAGGGTCTAAAATTTTAAAACCAGTATCCTTTCAGAAATGTTACGTGTGTATATAAATATT